GAAGTACATCTAGTATACAGATGGCACAATAAAACCCAAATAATATATCACTTCTGTAAGTGCTGGTGTGTATTCCATTTGGCAGCTTCTTGGGTGCCCCAAAAAGGTAGCACAAACAAAAAGCCGAAGTAATTTCTCACATGTAAAAAATAGGGGGAAAAAAATACAGGAAAAGGGGAAAAAAAAGGGACATAGCAGCCAATAGTTTTAACTGTTCAGCTGAAGAGTCACCTTCAAGAGACCTGGAGGTAAGGTTTAACAGGTTCAAAAATCAGGCCCCAAAATGAAGTGAAAACTGTACTCTTCATTGCAGGAAATGTAAGGAAAGAAATAGGCAAAGGTCATAAAAACTGGAAGCAAAAAGGGAGATAATAAGGTAATGAAGCAAGAGTGCTATAGAATGGAATTAAAGCCAAGCAAAATAAAGTCCTGACACTAAGTAAATACACACTGATTATTAAGGACCACAAAGTCCTGGGAAAACTACTCTCAGAACAATGTCAGTGTTATAAAAAACAAACTGTTACAATGCCACCTCTCAGATGGTTTTTGAAGTAATTTGTATTATCCAGGCTGGAAGATGGTGGTATCTGGAGTGACTACAGGGAAGAGCTTCTCCCAGAAGACACTGGTAATTCTCACTCTTTGTCTTACGTTGCATGTGTTGTATGTTAGGTGTGTTTTAATAATTAATTACCATTTTAAGAAAATAAATTTACGACACTGGTGCCTAAACTGGGAAAACTTTTAAAAAAACAGTTATTTTAACCCAATGCTGCTGTTTGGCATACTGATGCATACATAAGACACTGTATTTTCAAAATAGTAAATTAATGTCGACCAGTCAAGACCAAAACCAAAAGATGATGCCTAGCATTGCCTGGGAGAAGTGCTCTACAGAAGCAATGATTTAAATTGGCTTCTAATATAGCATGTTTTCTGTCAAAATTCCTGTCAAAATCTTGACACTTAGGTCACATGTAGACTTACAGATGAGAGGAATCCTGTCTCCTAACAACAGAAACATGGATAGAAAATGCAAGTATAGTAGGTGTGCCTTTAGCACTACTGGCATCCTGGTTGCCCATCTCAAAGCGTTTATATTAGGTATAAAGAAGGATCCATCATGAGCTATTGAAAAGAAAGGGATAACCCCCCCCAGGGTTCAAGAAGGCCTATGCTGAAAATTTCTGAGAGTGTAAGAATATGCAGCAGGAAGCATCCCCGCGTGCTCACCCTCTTCTCCCATTCTTCCCCAGGGATCCACTCTGACCATGGCGGAAAATGGGCTGCTGCCTGAACCGAAACTTCGGTCTATCTTAGTATGCCATTCTCATGTTCATCAGTGATCTCTGAAAAATCAGCCTAATTTTTTAGTAATCCCAATGAAAACATTTCAAAGTTAAATTGTGACATCCAATTTTTAAAATTTGAGCTTTCAATCTTCTGTAGAAAAAAAAAAACCCACAACATATGTTGAAACAAACAGAGTGGAACTGGAGAAGAGATACTATCTTTATCCATCAGTCACACACAAATTTACAATACACAGATTTTTAAACAAATAAAAAGGCCATATTCTCCTAGATGACTATAAATGGTGGATCTCTCTTCCACCATACCGGATTTTTTGCTTTAGTCTAAATCAGTTACTTCAGCTTGACAAGCAAAACTGTGGCATGTTGAACGCAAGGAAGGCTTTTGACATTTATATTATTGTACTAAGTTGATTTACTGCTTGCTAATCATTATTCACTGTTTCCCATTAGTCATTCTGTACTATATTTAAATAAATTGTTTGGAAATAGTCAACTGCTTCTTCTTCAGCTTTTATTATAGAAATCAAATTAAACAAGACAAAAAATTATTTATTAAAACAAAACAAAAAAGGAAATTACACAGTTGATGTTGAAATGACAAAAATAAATTTTTAAAAAAAGGTCATTTGGTCATTTCAGAACCAAGCCCAACCACTGGCTTCTTACTAGCATCACACAATGCAATCAAAACCTCTTGTCAAAACACAGCAATAACTAGCTTGAGCTTAGAATTTATGTTTCGTATGGTTTGTTTTTTTTAAAGTCTTTATTTCTTGTGTTTATGTGTACATTATTTTAAATTAATTTATAATTTTTAAGCAATATAATGGTACACAGAAAAACCTTGAGGGGCTAACTTCCAACTGCCATTCACAAAGGCAGTTAAAGGAAGCAAATCAGGAATACACCCAAGATATTTGCCTCAGGGAACACTTATTTGACCAAATTTTTGAAGGCATTACACAAACGCAACAAACTGCATTTGTATGAGAATCCAGATTTTTCTGGATACTACTATGAAAATACTGTAAAACTAAAGGAATCTGAACTATTACTATAGGTAAAACTCAAATTACTTTTTTTTTTTAAAGCTATTTCTTCATATTTTTATCTAAATATGAAGCCAAGAAATACTTAGGATTTATAAAAAAACTAGTGATGAAAAAAAAATCAGAAACAAGATCAAGCAACAGATATGCTTACTAGACAGCTAGAAAGTTAGGATTAATTCAAAAGGGGGGAAAATACAACAATGAATAAATTTTGATATGTACTTACATATTGAAAATGCTGCTAAGGTTTTCTTACAGAATGAAAAGCATCAGTCGAAAATACAGAATGAAAGAACCTCTCTTTCACACTAACATTCATTTGCCCAGTATCATAAAACACCTTTAGGTAAAAGTAGCATATTGTTCTTTTCTCAGCAGTGAGTTTGAAGAAAGACTCTATTCCTGTACCACAGAGTCTCTGCAGTTAGTTTATGCAGCCAAAGCTTCACTAACTATGTGGTAAAGGGGAACGCAGAGCCATACTGGTAGTGAGTTGCTATCGTAAGTGACTTAAATATCCGTATGTCTGTGAAGTAGGAATATTTTTGCACTGGTTTAGTTACATCAGTAAGGAACTAGCAAACGACAGTGGCACAAGAACACTCATTGCTGTAAGATTTAGTCACAAAGTAAAATTAAATAAAAGCATCATCATATAGACAACCCTATCTTAATAGTGGAGGTAAACTGCATGACACATTCTGATTAAGTTTACACTCTTAGACTGTTAGTTTTCCACAAGTACATGAGCAATCCCATTTTCCTGACACCTGTTTTTCACGGAAAATTAGTTGTAGGTACTTGTAGATCTCACTTTTTGCATTCAATACACCTGAATGTTTACATGACAAATACCTGTACCTTATCAGGAAACAAAAGTACGATGCAATGTACCCTGGAAAAGTCATAGTTTATTCTAATGCCCATTATAAACGCTGAGGAGAAAAACCACAGCAAATTCATTCCAATAAATGGATGGAATTATTTTAAAACATGTAATTTCAAATTAAAAAATGTGCAAGAGGAAATTACACTGATCATACCTATTTTATGAGCAGAAAAAAATAATTTTCTTGGATACAATTATCACTTAAGTGGATTATTTCCTCAGACTCTTTTCTGATATACATTCATAACAATTCATATCTGTTGCTTCATCACAGACATAATCAGAAGACAAAGATTGTTTAAGCTTTCTCCCCGCTCCCCATCACTAGTCGTGTGTTTCAGAGAGTAGGTTTTCCAAACTGAGTATGAAAAGGACACAGATTACAGAATAATCTGTAGAAAAATCCTTCATATCAGTTCATTTAAAAAACAGAAACATTATTTTAAAATAAGCTTCAGGCTGTGTGTGTGGGAGTTGCTCTTATTTATGCACTCCCTCAGTAAAGACAACAGCCTTTAACCTTTATTTATTGCACTGATCAACAACTGCATTTTCACATTATCAGGTTTGTGGAGCAATACCACAGCACTGTAATGCCCAGGGTACACATTTGATATAATATTTTTCTGAAAATGTGTCAACTGCAATTCGTAGACAGCCTTACTTGCCAAGTTCAATAGCTTTTACAACACTTATAGAATTCTAACACTTATTCACTGAAGGAACCATCTATAGGTACCAATCGATTGTGTAAGGTCAAAAGGCTAAACTTTTCACTCTGATGCAAGTATGATCTAAACACGAAACTGTAATTCTTCGAATGACTGCTTTACATCTAAAAATATGACTGCTGAATGCTGCAATTATGTTTCTCAGCTGGACACATCTTTCTACATTATTTTCTTGAATGCGTAACACCCAGGCTCAACAGTGTGCTCATCAGCTGCATTAAACTCTAAATGTGATATCTAATTAGCTAGAAAACTACTCAGATTTGACTGGTAGGCTTTTTTTGGTTTGCTTTTAAGTCCAAACGTATCTTAATCACCTTGTCTGCCCTCCAGAGAAAACAGTAATGAAAAAAGACAAAATGTTCAGAGGAAAAAAACCCACACCTATCATTACAAAATATCCTTAGGTCCTGACAACATCTACTTACTCTCAAAATATTACTCTCAAAAATTTCCCAGTAATTTCTTATGGATTCTGACTTTAAAATGTCTAGTCTTAAAACTGCTCAAAGGTAAGAATGACCCACAGTGCATGTTCTGGTCACAGTGCAAGCCCTAACCACTTGAACCATGCCCTACAGCTAGTTTGAAATGAACTGGCGAAGCAGCTCCTTGCCCTCAATTCAGTTTGGTGAAGGAAACAATTCTCAGACCCATAGAGATTGGTCCTCTCTGTACCGGGAAGTCCATCGCACATACCGTGCCGCCCTATTTGAATTGCGTGTGTTCTTCGTCTTTCGGAGCAGGTTAGGAAAGATGGATGCATCAGAATATATCTTTGCCTTCCTAGATTAGCAACAACTATCTGTTAGGCCAAATCTCCTCTCCTGCCTCCTCTAAAATTCTTAACATGTTAAAAGAGCTTGTAGGAAAGAAGGATGAACACAGCAAGTGACCTCATGGGTAATCCTGTAACTAACTCCGATTCTTTTCTCTCTCATATCAACGTATTCACAACAATATATATGCTGCTAAATTGAACATATGCCGTATCTTTTTTTTTACTCACCTACGCAGTTATCGCAAAGGCTGCAATGTGAGGCACGAGGTGGGCGGAAAATCTTGCAAGTAAAACAGTATTTTAGTTTCACTGTCTGTCCATTGATGATCACTTCTTTTGTTCTGGGAGGGGGGCGGTATCCTCCTGAACTGGAGCCATTTGCAATATCTAAACACGGAAATACAATGCATTAAATTTTTAACGGGAGCTATGGCGTATGTACAGAACTGTCCCTGACATAAATTTGAAACTTGCTATAGATTGCTATCAACACACTTAAAATAAACAACTTTTTTCCCATTCTCATTCCCCTTAAACAACATATAGCAAAAAAGATAGTAAATTACAAATACCAACCATAGCCAATCAATTTAAATTAAAGAAACCATCCAAACCCAATTCTCAAATGCTGACAGCTACCTTGATCCCAAAACTCTTATACTCTCATACCACATAACAGTTCATACAGAATACATTAAAAGACAACTATGATTACTGGTGCAGGATGGTAAAACTTGGACAAGTTATCTTTAGGATTTTCCCGATTTTTTTTTAGTATTTCTGTAATAACAAGAAGTCTCTATAAAAATGCTGCAACAGCAGCTCTGTCATGAGAGCTTGACATGGTAGAAACAAGGTCAATCATCACTTCGAGATCTCTTAATTTCACAGCTCTGGCTGGTTCAAAGTTTGAATATCTAACTCCCAGTGTTGCTTTTACACATCTTGAAGTTTGTCTGATGCATAAAAAATAATTTGGCACAAGTGGTGGGGTTTTGGGTTTTGTTTGTTTGCTTGCTTTTGTTTTATTTTAGGACATCAGCATTCATTTTTCCAGCAACTAAAGGACTGATTAGGATAAACTATTAAAGTTCAATTTTGTCCTTTAAATGCACCCAAACAGAGCTATACACTGAAAGTTGAACATATAAAAGTAGTACATTTTTCTCAGTTTATCTGTTCTTCAAATCAAACCACAAAGTGAAAAAACCTGAAATTATTACTCTTGGACAGACAGAATAGCAAGAACAATAGGAAAGTAAAATAAATTATTTTCCAATATATGAATGAAACTACATTTCAAAGTCACAGTCACCTGCACAACTGTGTTTTAAGTTGTCCCCCTCACTTTCATGTTGGACAAGCACAGGGCTGGATGACAGGTTACTAAAAGATCCATGACTTGTATTTGAGCTCAAATTGTTAGAAATATCACTCACAATTACAATTTCTGCGAGGTCTGCAGACATATTTACACGGTCTACAAACTACACATTTTCCAAAGGGACAACTAGAAAGCTTCCTACCTATCAAGGTATTCAAATTAGCAACAGCATAGCCATGCTAGAAAAGGTGTAATTATACAATATGCTAGATTTGGCAGCAAATCTAGCTTAAGAAGTTGCTGTGTGCAGCGTGCTCATCCACTCCATAAATATGCATCAATAAAAGTATTTGTAGGACACCACTGTAAACTTGACCATTGAGACAACTAGACTTCAGAAAACTCTTCCTGGAGAAGAGGGAGGAAGGAGGGGAGCAATAGCTGAGAATGATGGAATGAGGGTGTGAAGCTCCTAAGAATCCCTTATGAGAATGAAATAGTGAATGCCGGGTAAAGAGCAGGTTAGCAGCAGTCTATGGGACCGTGATGAGATACAGACATTTGCTTGTGTTTGATCTAAACCAACCTCTGCAGTGTTCCTGGGATGTATGTTCACGTATACATGTTCATTAATAAATCTATGATTTCCATTTGATACTCATATTCCAATTTAGGTGCATAATTGTCAAAAACACTAATGAAGCCTAAATTTTATATAGGTGTAGCTTTCTATACTGCTAGAAATGCTGGTGCATTGTATTTCCTAACATAACACTAATATTTCAGATTTTCTTCTTTTATAAAATTTTATTATTCTTGAATATGTACAAAACCATTGAAAGAAAATGACTTAAAGCAGTCAAGATGAATTCACAGAATCATTAAGGTTGGAAAAGACCTTTACGATCATCAAGTCCAACCATCAACCCAACACTATCATTCCCAGCTAAACCATGTCCCAAAGGAACACATCCACATGTTTTTTAAACGCTTCCAGGGATGGTGATTCCACCACCTCCCTGGGCAGCCTGTTCCAATGCTTGACCACTCTCTCCGTAAACAGCTTTTTCCTAATATGCAGTCTAATCCTCCCCTGGCGCAACTTGAGGCCATTTCCTCTCATCCTATCACTAGTTACTTCAGAGAAAAGACCAACCCCCACCTCACCACAACCCCCTTTCAGGTAGTTGTAGAGAGCGATAAGGTCTCCCCTCAGCCTCCTCTTCTCCAGACTAAACAACCCCAGTTCCCTCAGCCGCTCCCCATAAGACTTGTGCTCCAGACCCCTCACCAGCTTCGTTGCCGTTCTCTGGACACGCTCCAGCACCTCAGTGTCCTTCTTGTAGTGAGGGGCCCAAAACTGAACACAGGATTCAAGGTGCGGCCTCACCAGCGCCGAGTACAGGGGCACAATCACTTCCCTACTCCTGCTGGCCACACTAGTTCTGATACAGGCCAGGACGCTGTTGGCCTTCTTGGCCACCTGGGCACACTGCCGGCTCATGTTCAGCCGGCTGTCAACCAGCACCCCCAGGTCCCTTTCCGCCGGGCTGCTCTCCAGCCACTCCTCCCCAAGCCTGTAGCGTTGCACGGGGTTGTTGTGACCAAAGTGCAGGACCCGGCACTTGGCCTTATTGAACCTCATACAGTTGATGAAGGGATTTTTTTAGAAGAAAACCACTATTTTTTGCAATGAAGCATTTATACATCCAAAAAATGCACATTCACTAAAACCAGTATTTCTTCACCTTTCAAGAAGTTCAGAAAGTGCTATGTATTTATTTTATTTTAAAATGGGCTCTGGCAGAATCTCAAAGGCAACTGCCTCTTGTCTGGTGGCGAAGGGAGACTACTGGCCTGCCCATTACACTTACAATACTGGTTTTCTAAGAGGATTTCCTTCCAAATCTTTGCAGGGAAGTTCAAGTTCACAGGGACAGCAAATCCTAGCTCTCTGAGGAAATTAATCTAAAATCCAAGGGTGAATGCTGATGCAAATGAAATTAATTAAAACAGTCTTGCTGACTTGCCATGGAGTCAGGATTTTACTCACAATCCTAAATTGCATAATCAAACTCACAAGTTCCAGTCTTTGTTTATTAAGAATTTTTTCTGGAAACAAGCAACAGAACAAGGTCAAATGTGTTTGGATTTACTCAAATTTATCTAACCTAAATGTGCTAAACATGTCCTGTTCTCATAGTGATTTTTCAGGCTGTAATTTCCCTTCAACGGGACTGCTCATACTTGGGTTCTAACACAGTTAAATATTTTAATATAAGCGGTCCCTTTAAGGCACAATAAGATTAACCTTTACAGAGCCACCTTCCCCAAATAAACCTCCGCTTGACCACTCCTTTTTACATTTTTCTCTGCCAATCCATTACTGATGTAGTAATGTAAGTTATTTTACAAAAAGGGTGAAGTTTTCCCCCTAATGGGATTGCCTTCCACCCACATTTTATGGCTTCTCTAAATGTTAAGTTTTCATTCACTAGATGGGGCTCCAGCATTTTTAATTAGCCTATTACAAAACCCCAAAACATACAATCCATATCCTTGCAGGACCAAGGTACCTGACCTGCTGCAAGAAAGTCACTTCAGGTATTTAACGGAACTACAGCACAGTCCAGCAATCTCATGTGACAAAAAGCTCTGCTTAGATCTCTCAAATTATTACGCTGGAAACAAATAGGAGGTGCTGTTTAGATGAGAAGGAGGCTGGAATTTTGCATACGTATCACCAGGACTCTCCTATTCAATCAAGCATTAGCTTTTTGGGTCAATTTTCCTAAGATCCTAGGACAAACAATCTCTAGAAGGTCTTTCCATGTTGTTGCTACACGAATTTAACAATCATATCATGCAAGGTTTGCCATCAACTTTAAAGGGATACAATTTCAATCTTCAAACAACATTAGAAAAGTTAGTAACTTGAAGTAGTTGTAATGTTTCCTGCTAAGAAAAACAGGTAATTCAGTGAAAAAATCTTTATGTGTGACCTATAACGTCTGAACAACAACAACAAACACCCAAACGCAAAACCCCTGCAAAAATGCAAACCTTCTCTAAGAAATGTTTCCCTCTGCATTTAACCACTTAAATCTAAGCTACATGCTTAATAACAGTGGGCTACAAGAGGAAAGGGTAATTTATTTTTTTAGGGAAAAGAACTTAATCAAGTAACATTTTCTTGTTTCCAGACAGTAATCTCAGGGACAAGCAATACTGGGAACCTGGCTTAGACTGAAACCAGCAGCTGCTGACTGCATTCTTCACATAATTCTTCATCTGACAGCCAACAAGAGATACCGAACAAATACTGCTCCAGACTTTAGATAAAAGACTTACTGCCTGGATTTCAGAAAAAAACTATGTATTATTTCTTAAGAGTAGAATTGCATCATATTCTTGAAGTCTAAAACTTTATGTGAAAGTTACTGTCGCTCCCAGAATGAAATGCGATTTTAGAGTAATAGCTTTCTGAAAGACTTACCTGATGCACAAAGTAATTTCACTGAATTTAAGAATGTTGTTCAAAGCATACAATATCAGGTATGACTACTAGCCTATCAAACTGTTATGCCACCTTTGGGGAGAAAGCAAAACATACCCATGTTGTACCCACGAGCAGTATGTATTTGTTCAGGCTATTGTCAATTCTGTGAAATGCCTATGCTGTGGCACAGATTGAATTTTATAAGGCTCTAAGGAAATCAAATTGTGCATTTCAAAACCAAAGAGAGGCAAGGAACTGTGAAGTCTCAAATGTAGTCTTGAGCACCAATGAAAATTAAAGAGCCAATACAAAACCAACTTCCAGAGATGGTGTGCTGGTGTAGCTAATACACTGAGTTCAGGGCTTTTGGAAAGGCAAAAGTAAGCAAGCAGAAACTGTGAACTGGCCTGAGCTGGTTGTACAGAATAAATTAGGAAGATATACATAAGTTAAGACAGTTACCCTAAAGAAAAATCCAAAGGATTTCCTTGCTGTAGATAGGCCATTTAAGGCTTGAAGGATAAGTTACCATGATCATCTTTTTATTTATCTGCATCACCTACCCAATGCAAAAAAGATGGGTATTGTGGAAGTATTGTTAATCTTGTGTACATCACATCAACCAGACAAATGCCTTCCCATCTGTGAAACCCACTCTGTTGGGTTTGTTTATCCTTTTAAGCTTTCATATTTAGAAGTTTATTATCCTATAACATTTTTTCCACTTGAGGTGTCTTCACACTGAACTAACTTCAAGAGATACATATTATAACTGCAAAGAGGTTACAAAATACGGCTGCTCCTAGTTTTCATGTTTCCATAGAAACAACAGCCCCTCTCAATACAGTATTTTGTGTCATCACAGAAAACATGCTTATATGCATCATATAAGATGATACTACCCAACTAACAGGGGTTGCCCTGGAAAAAAATTACTTCCATTTTCATGAAAGTTATAATCGAAGTAAAAATACTACATCAACAAGCTTAATTTCCCATTTAGGAAAAAAAGAAAAAAGTCCTGCTGCATTTGACTGAGATTTCTACAGAGATACTACTAAAAATAGCACTTTCATGACAAGTAACACTACATTATCTTCATTGATTTTCTACTACACAAGGGTCATGCATCTGGTTGCTTTTGTTCTATTATGTTATATGAAAAAATACTAGAGCATTTTAAGACCTATGTGCCTTCCCTCTCTTAGGCCAAACACATATGCCTTAAATATTTCCTTATAGACCATGTTTTCTAGATTTCTCTGTTTTGCTGCCTTCCTCTTGAGTTTCCACATGTGGTGTGAAAAACTGGATGAAGTGAACTGAGTCCTCATCATCACTAGGTATTATAGAACGTCACTTCTCCTGGTTATGTAACGAGTCTTCTCCTAATGCATCCCAAAAAGAATTTCCACTTTTTATATCTTGATGCTGACTCAGTTGGCTTGTGGATAATACCCAAGTGCCCTTTTTACTGTACCATTCACTACTTAGGCCCCTTTTAGTATTTGATTTCCACTTGTAATCATGCATTTTGTATTTGTTCCCCAAGTTTGCTGAGACTATTTAAAGTACAGAAAAAATGAATAAAATCAAGCCAGGTGCTTGCAAATTCCCCAAAATTATTTTCAAAACTTTATATAGAAAGATTCCTATGCTGGACAGTATCAAGAGCTCTATTACTGTCAAAATTTAGCTTATCTGCTGCTTTTTTTCCACCAAGACAGTTATTCTTTCAGTGAAGGACATCAGTTTGGTTACACTTGATTTGCTCTCGAAATATTCTGTTGCTTGTTTTGAGTCTTAAACAGCCATAAACCCCACCCCCTGCCAGCCCCAATTCTTACAATTCAATCATTTAGCGGTTTGCTCCACCCCTTTCCAAGACAGAATAATTTCTAATGACAGAATAGACAGACTTCTATTAGAGTAGAATATTAGGTAGACAGATATAGATGCAGTATAGTAGACTGACAGATTTTTCATTTTCTTTTAACTACTACTACTACTTTCCCCTCTTCTAACCTGCACTTCCACGCTGGCAAGAAGTGTGCAAATTCTCTTCCGAGATCAAAGCAGAATGTTGAATCCTTCAGATTGCCCTCTGTTACTTCTCATTTCCCAATTACACAGCATGCCTTCAGCTTCTCTTTCTTCCTCTGACCTCTAACAGAACCTGTCCTGTTGTCTTCCGCTGTTCCTTGCTGGTTGTAACTGACTTTACTCCCCTCTTGCCTTTCCAACACTTTCTCTATATGCTTGTGCCACCTCTTTATACTTACCTTTAGAAACTGTCTCCACTTCTGATACAAATATTTTTTTGATTGCCATCTTCATAAAACTACAAATACAGAGAGAATGGCTTCTTACTACACTTTCCAACCTTCCTCTGTATGAAGATAGCTTGATGATGTGCATTTAATATAGTATTTTTCAATAATAGAGGTACCTTTTACTTAATGACATACTTAATTTTTTTGCAATTCCTTTACTTTTTGTTTTGCTATGACCACAGATGGTGGCTGGGCTACTACCACCTCACCAAATCCTCAAGAAAAAACTGCTTTCCATTCCTGTACCCTGGTGGTGGAAACAGCAGCAGCACAGCTCTGTTAGTCTTCCATCTTCACCTGGAAAAAGTGATAGCCTAGGTAGAAACATTTCATGCTGTCAGCCTGACCACCCAGTTTCGAAACAGTCACGTGAATGAATGAAGTACCAGCAGTTTCTTTAGAAAGTCTTATTCTGAGAACTGTTGTTCTTAATCAGCTCATCCTATTCTATGCTTTCTGATGTAGAAATATAAAGTTCAATAAGCTTTAAAAGAACTTCAAAATAGCGTTCTTAAATCAGAATTCCTCCTCTTGGGACATAAGAGTTTCTCACTGCATCCGTAATAATTTCTGTGAGGCTGCTTCCCGAAGAGACAGGTAGGGCAGAATAAGTCTCAAGTATCTAGAACAACTAGAACAAAGCAGAGGCTATGTATTGGACACGTTACATACACAAATTTTAGAAAATAAACAATTTGGTAAAGGCATTATTTTTAAGTGATTTATCTGAACAGTTACTGGAGCCACCCAGCCTTTCTTGCTGCATAGATGCCACTCCACTAGGATACATCCTTTTAAGGCACATTAAAAAAAATATATATTAACAGTACAAAGATGTTTCTTTTCATTTCTATTGTTCATTCCAGAATCACAATTTTAGGTCTGAAGGATTTGTTATAGCTACCTAGCTTGTTCCTCTCCATTAAACTCGCTATAAGCCCTCATATTTGGGAACTTGAGCCCCAAACTCCACATTTGCTGGCAATATAGTTCCTCACTTCAAGACTCCATTGGACCTTTTTGGAAGATGACTGGTTTTGCTACTGCTGAAGAAAGGACAGTGGTTTTGATCAGCTCAGCAGTCTGAACAAACCTTTTCTGAAACAAACCTTTTAAACGTTTTCAGATGCTTAAGCAAGATGACTCAACCACCTCTGAAACTTCAATGAATAGCAAACATTTTAATACAGAATCACAGAATGGTAGGGGTTGGAAGGGACCTCTGAAGATCATCACCTCCCTCAGGAGGTGATTCTGCCCCTCTACTCTGCTCTGGTGAGACCCCACCTGGAGTCCTGCGTCCAGCTCTGGAGACCTCAGCACAGGAAAGACATGGACCTGTTGGAGTGGGTCCAGAGGAGGGCCACAAAAATGATCAGAGGGCTGGAACACCTCTCCTGTGAGGACAGGCTGAGGGAGTTGAGGTTGTTCAGCCCGGAGAAGAGAAGGCTCCAGGGAGACCTTATTGCAGCCTGCCAGTACTTAAAGGGGGCTTAGAAGAAAGATGGGGACAGACTTTTTAGCAGGGCCTGTTGCGACAGGACAAGGGGCATTGATTTTGAACTAAAAAAGTGTACATTTAGGCTAGATAGAAGGAAGAAGATTTTCACAGTGAGGGTGGTGAAACACTGGCACAGGTTGCCCATCCCTGGCAACATTGAAGGCCAGGCTGGATGGGGCTCTAAGCAACCTGATCTAGTTGAAGCTGTCCCTGCTCATTGCAGAGGGGTTGGACTAGATGACCTTTAAAGGCCCCTTCCAACACAAATGATTCTATAATTCTACGTAATGTTCCAGCAGATCCAAGTTTATTGGAGACTGCTGAGGTCAAGCGCTCAGGGCAAGGAACCTGGCTCTCCCTCCTACCACCTCAACAAGAAAGAGGCACCTACCCAATCCAGAGAAAGGAAAAACTTTGAGGAAATCCCATTGCAGAAACCCAAGGTCAGTAAAAAGCCAAGTGGAAGGAAGGATCAAAAAAAGATGAAGGAGTGACAGACAACAAAAGATGCAACCAAGTAGGATCCAGATAAGACCCATGGAGGCAGAGCTGAACAGAAGTACAGGAAAGACAGGGCAGAACTCAGGGTGTATGTACATAACAGATGCAATACAAATAAGAGGCAGAAAAGAGACCCAGAGTAGACTCAAAACACCAGAAAGTACAGGATTCATCCTCCAGAAACAGGAACCAAAACCCAAGAACTTTTGAAACAAACTGTGGTAACTGGTTTCTGCGCCAAGGCCCTAATAACAATGCATTGTTATAGTGCTGCCTTCTGCCTTACCTGTCTAGGTTTTCATTACTCAAATAACTTGCTGCTCCTTCTGGTATTTTGTCTTTATAACCACTGGATTATGAAAATAATGGATCTAAGCCACTTTCTGTGCCAATTAGCAAGCATTCAAAATACCTCATCCTTCAAATGGAGCCAAGAACACACTCAGTTAATCTTTATAGCCTGTTTATATGTCTGCCGTTCTATAAGAATAGAGAATTAAACTGCACATCACAAAAACTCTAAAGTGACTATTAAACCACATCCATTTCAAAACCATAGATACAATTAAATATTGCATATATGGGTACTGGATTTAGAAACTGAGAAATTCATTTGCTGCAGTTAACCTGGAGAAAATGCTTTAATAAAGCATATTGAAAACATGATTCAGAGAACACTCAAGATTTCACCAAGCAGCTGGATACAGTGGTGAAAAATATCTGTCGCAGCAAGATAATGAAATCCTAGTATAACTCACTTGCAATCTCATTTAACAAACCATCATCATTATCATCTTTATATGTAATTACTGAAAAGGTAAATTTCCATAAGAAAGCATAAAAAGAATAGGATATATAAGGTTTTGTTCTGAAAATTTTTTCCCCCAACTGCACCATCATTATTACTAGTAGATAATCAGCCAGTAAATTTCTGTAGCAGCTTCATTAAAGGATTTTAATTTAATTTTCTGCCTAAGGGACTCAAGAAATTCAAAGAAACAGACACAGAAATGGAAAAGTATCCACAGTGATGACAGGGAATGTAGGACAGTACCTAGATGGGTACTATTATTCTTTTCAGCATCTTATGCTCCTCTCTGTTTCTTTCTCAAATGCAGGTGCAAAAGCCTCCCACTGTTCACAAAGATTTTATTTCATTCATTTTCAAACGGTTTAAAGAATTAGGACTATGATTTTTCTACAGCTGAGCTATCAGCCACCAGTATATGTGGCACAATTCAAAACACCATAACCGTCTTTCCCTTCTAAACCAATGACTCTTTTGTTTTTACTCAGCAGAAGCAACAAGAATTTGTTTTGAATTTGTTAAATCTTTGCTTTAACCAGAGTTAAGAAAACTCTCAAAAACATTTTTCTTCATATACAGTTATACTCCAGCTTTTCCTCACAATGATCTCACATTACAGTAGGAATAAATTATTATCTCAATGATCAATGCTTGTCCCATTACAGAGAAAAGAAACAAAACAAAACAGAACACCAGCAGTAAGAAGCCAAATGATTTGTCTGCAAATCTTGCTTCTAATCAACTTTGAAATCCTATCATTAGCCAAGGATGGGTTTAAAGGGATTTGTTAATATAAAAAGTGAAAGAAAGATGGTTGGTCAATGGGCTCTGGTACAAATGTCTTCCATTCTCCTATTTCTGGTTTAAATATGCTTCACGAGTGCAGACTTCCATACAGTGTCCTCCTATGGTGCTCCAGCCTTTTCCTAATGAGAACCTCCTCTCACAAGGTACAAAATAGGAGTGCTGGGGTTGCTGGAGTGAAACAGCTGGGAGAGGTCACAGTGGCAGACTTATGAAATGTAAAGGTGTAACAGAAATCTACGTTCTTCGAGTAAGTCTTATGGATGGTTATTCAATTAGAAAGGTATTCTTATGATTTCAAATATCTAATAAATATATTTACCTTCAAATCGTAAGACATTTTACTGGGGACTTCAGTACTGAAATAGACAAAGAATGTCCACTGCTCCCCAAATACTGCATTAATAAAACTGAAGGAAAACACCATTTTAAAAAACACAGAACCCAAGTGAGCTGTCATAGTAATTACAGCAGCAATAAAACAGTTACATGGGAAGTTCTATTTCAAAATGGCTCTTTCTGGAAAACTCTAAATTTTAAACATTTTTTTATCTAAAAGTTATAACACAATTTTATGATATAAAGAGGCATTCCTTTTTGGCAACACTAAGGAATCTACCTGCCTGAATTCCATCCTCCTCCCCCAAGTTATTCCTACAGAGAAAATAATTTTTTTGAGAAGAGGTTAGGGCAAAAAAGAGAAAGGAGGGGGAAATTATAATTTTCCCCAGATTTCCCCAAATAGTTCTGAGATGCTTTTTTTTCCACCACACTCTATCCTTTCCTTCCCAGCTACAAAAATAATGCCATTCCCCATTATAGCAACTGACATACTTCTATGCAGCACATAACATACTCAGTATTTAATTCTGAAAAATACTTGCAGTGATAGCACTGGCAAAAGCTAAAAAATAAGCTCTAAAATCAGTCTTCCTAAGAAATCTGTTAGCTTTCTCAGCAACACAAATTGAACTTTGGCATCTGTTTTCCACATATCTGGATTCTGTGAATATTAGGAATTCTTCTGTTACACAAGCATGACTGAAATTATTGTGTTTGAAGAGAATTCCAGTTCCTCAGTATAAACACATTCCATATCCATTTTTAATGTTTTTTTGGAGTTTAGTAAGAATATGGCTTCACAATGCTCCTCCATTTCTGATTTAACTTCTTCATGGCATGTAAGGGCAGGTTCACTGAAGATTTTGTTTTTAAATAATCCAGAGTGCCATACTGGAAAGTAAGCAAACAGAAGAAATTTATATGAATTTAAATTCATCCATCTGGGATTGAGCAATCTGGACCATCTAGGATCTAATGGTTTTCCTCCTTTTATACTATGTACAGTACGGTCCTCGCCCAAAGCTAAATCCTGACTGGCTAA